TCTCCTTCATGTCTCCTTCATGTCTCCTCCATGTCTCCTTCTTGTCTCCTCCATGTCTCCTTCATGTCTTCTCCATGTCTCCTTCATGTCTTCTCCATGTCTCCTTCTTGTCTCCTCCTTGTCTCCTCCAGTTGTTTTTGTAGTTTGTTGCTGTCTTGTCAGTCTTTTGTTTGGTCTCTTTAAATAATAATAATAATAATTATTATAACTTCCTTGTGTTTTTCTGTGTTCTTGGCTCGTTCCTCCACAAACCATCACAGTTTTGTAGTTGCAGATCTTTTGGGGACCACTTGTCCTCCCTGGTTCCAAAGTTGTTCCTTATGTAGTAAAATATAATTTCTGGGTTTCCTGTTGAGGTCGAGATGAGTTAAGGTGACGTTTCAGGTTAAAGGAGGCCGTCACATCGCAGAGGGCACTGCACTGACTTCCTTTCTGTCACTGGTCTGCACTGATGGTCCTCAGAGCCACGTCGCCCTTCTGTCAGCTCCGTGTGTTGTCATGTCTGGCTCCTCTGACGCCATCCTTCTCCTGGTGCCACCGCTCCTGAACACAGTCCACACCGTGTAACTGAACACGACTCACACACTGTAAACAGCTGCACTTCTGCACATGCATGACATGACGCGCATTCATCAAACGCTTCAGTGACCAAAACTGGAAACGGAGCCGACGACGGTAGCTGAGAATTTCATATGGAGTGGGTTTTTTGTACCTCGAGTCAGCCTGAGCGTGTTTCTGAGATCAGTTTGCACAAATATGAGATTTCCATCATCTTAGTGTGTACTGGTCCCTCAGAAACCACAGGAAGTTTGTGTGCTGTCTGAGCGAACGGCGGGTGAAGAATGTCGTGGGCTAACGGAGCCAAACACAGCTGTCCCGGTGACTCAAATCCCACACAACGTAAATCTCAGCTCATCTGTGAAGCGCGATGCTGCACACTTGAAACCACTCGCAGTGAATCCCAGCAGGTTCGAGCTCGGGGATTCTTCATTTTGTTATTTAAATGCCTTAAAAACATGAACAGCATCTGATGTAATCAAACAGCATGGTTTTTATTTGTTTATCTCAAACTGACACTGACCGTCAGAGGGGGGGTCATGTAGTTCTCACATTTGT